AACTGAATGAGATAGACCAGTAAGTTTGTTCAACTGAATGAGATAGACCAGTAAGTTTTTTCAACTGAATGAGATAGACCAGTAAGTTTGTTCAACTGAATGAGATAGACCAGTAAGTTTTTTCAACTGAATGAGATGGACCAGTAAGTTTGTTCAACTGAATGAGATAGACCAGTAAGTTTTTTCAACTGAATGAGATAGACCAGTAAGTTGTTTCAACTGAATGAGATAGACCAGTAAGTTTGTTCAACTGAATGAGATAGACCAGTAAGTTTTTTCAACTGAATGAGATAGACCAGTAAGTTGTTTCAACTGAATGAGATAGACCAGTAAGTTTTTTCAACTGAATGAGATAGACCAGTAAGTTTTTTCAACTGAATGAGATAGACCAGTAAGTTTGTTCAACTGAATGAGATAGACCAGTAAGTTTGTTCAACTGAATGAGATAGACCAGTAAGTTTTTTCAACTGAATGAGATAGACCAGTAAGTTTTTATTTTAAACTCTTTTAGCGCACTTATCGGTAATTTTATTTAGTAAAAGCGTTGATGATTTTAATTGGGCGTTAATTTGTTTCTTAGAGAATTGTGTATGTTGAGGTCCATCAATTTAAACAGATACTCTACACTGGTTTAAACAATCGACCTTATTTTTTAACGGCCCACAAAGTCAATAAACACACACTATTTTACTATCATCAAGCGATCACACACTACTTCATCAAAAACCCTATCTCACACCACTGTATCATCAGCTATCTCACACTAATTTATCTCACAGGCTATCTCACACCAATTTACCTCACAAGCTATTTCTCACTAATTTATCTAACAAGCAATCTCACGCTAATTTATCTCACAGGCTATATCTCACTAGTTTACCTCACAAGCTATCTCACACTAATTTATCTCACAAGCTATCTCACACTAATTTCCAAATTGCTGGTATTGTGTGGGTTACATAAGATTGATTAAATATGTAACAAAAATATAGGAAAGCTGCCCTGAACATAGTTTAATGAGCCGACCACTTAATTTGTCTGGTCCCGGGGTCTTGGCTACGTCCACTTATTTAAATAATGACATCGCTCCCTGTTCGGTGAACAATAAAGTACCATCCTGTGTACTACTGTCATCTTTAAATGAATTGATCATCCCATTGTATACTTTTCCAAAGTCCAGGCTGTCGAAACGACAATAAAATCCATTTAAGTCGTTAACAAAATTTCTCACGTCCTCAACACATCTAGTAACCATTTGAAGAGGCTACGGCAATCAGTTTATAACTAAGTTAAAGATTACAGGCTAACACAAGGGCCGTAGCTTATCACATTGTATCGTAATGAATTGAAAATGGCGAATAAAAAATAATGGGACATGTAATATTTTAAGTTTTTCATGTAAGGAAATTGCTACCAACGGATTTTCAGCACTCTTATGTGAGGAAGTCGCTACCAAGGGATTTGGAGTACTCTTTTGTGAGGAAGTTGCTATCAAGGAATTCAGTACACACGTTTCGCTAGGCAGTCGCTACCAAGGGATTCAGAGTACACTTTTGTGAGGAAGTCCCTACCATGGGATTTGGAGTACAGTTTTGTAAGGAAGTGGCTACCAAAGGATTTGGACCACGGGATTTAGAGCACATTTTGTAAGAAGCATTAAACAGAAAGTTTACACATTCATAAACACATGCCTTTGAAAAATCCTGAACATCAAATGGCCAAATACTATCACCGACAAAGATCTACAAGAAAGGACATACCAGGTGCCCATTAATGATTATATCATAAAGAAAAGATGGAGGTGGATAGGGTATACGCTCCCAAACCCCCCCCCCCCCCCCCCCCCCCC